TCGCTTTGAAATTTTGTGACCCAACACTATACCCTCTTCTACCATGAAATGACACTTTTTCCAATTGAGTACAAGGTTGGTGTCTTCACACCGGGCCAACACTCTATCTAAATTTCCCAAACACTCATCAAAGGAATCCCCAACCACACTGAAATCATCAATGAAAACCTCCAAGATATCCTCCACCATGTCGGTGAAAATAGCCATCATGCATCGTTGGAAGGTCGGGAGCATTACACAATCCGAACGGCATTCGAGAGAAAGCAAATATGCCATACAGACAGGTAAAAGTTGTCTTCTCTTGATCCTATGGGGCAATTAAAATTTGATTGTACCCCGATTAACCATCGAAAAAGCAATAAAAAGCACGCCCCACAAGACGATCTAGCATTTGGTCAAGGAATGACAATGGGAAATGATCCTTTCGAGTCACCTTGTTTAGCTTCCAGTAATCCATACACTCTCTCCACCTAGTGACCATCCGTGTAGGAATAAGTTCATTGTTGTCATTGGTCACCACAGTCATGCCACCCTTCTTCAGCACACATTGTACCGGAGAAGTCCATGAGCTATCAAAAATAGGGTACACAACCCCGTCATCCAACCATTTAATAACCTCTTTATTCACCACTTCTTGCATAGCCTCATTCAATCTTCTTTGATGCTCCAAGGAAGGCTTTGCGTCATCCTCCAAGATAATTTTATGCATACAGAATGCAGGGCTTATTCCCCGAATGTCGGCTAGAGTCCATCCAATTGCCCTTTTCCACTTTTGAAGAACCGCCAAGGTGGCTTCAACCTGCATGTTAGTAAGGCCAGAAGAAAGAATAATAGGTAAAGTAAAATTTGAGCCTAAGAATTCATACCTGAGGTGTGGAGGAAGTGGTTTCAACTCCAACACTGGTGGCTCCTCAATTGATAGATTTGTTGGTGGAGTTTTTAGATTTTCAAGATCCAAAGATAATTTCCTCGGCTCAAAAGAATAAGATCCCATCCCATGTAGGGCATTCACGCACTCCACTCTACTAGCATCATCATTGACATCCATGTTTAAGAGCACTGCTTCAAGAGGATCTTCCATGTTGATCATAGCAATGGTATCATCCACAATCACAGCTGTGACAAGGTCTACAAATGAGCACACCTCGGTGCTATTGGGTTGCTTTATAGATTTGCAAACGTGAAAAATGACCTTTTCATCTCCCACTCGAAAAGTGAGCTCACCCGCTTTAACATCAACCAATGGTTTCCCCGTTGCAAGGAAAAGTCTGCCCAAGATAATAGAAACCTCATAGTCCACCTCATAATCCAAAATCACAAAGTCGGCCGACAATATGAATTTGTCCACCCGAACAAGCACATGATCAATAATGCCCAAAGGTCGCTTCATCGATCTATCCGCCATTTGAAGTCTCATTGAAGTTGGCCTAGGTTGCCCGATACCCAATGTTTTGAAAACCGAGTAGGGAATCAAATTGATACTAGCTCCCAAGTCACAAAGAGCTTTGACAACATCCGTTCTCCCAATGGTGCAAGGAATGGTGAAAGCATCGGGATCTTCAAGCTTCGGGGCCATTAAATGCACTATAGCACTAACTTGGTGAGTCATGTTTATAGTTTCACAATCCATAGAACACTTCTTTGTAACCAAGTCTTTCATGAATTTTGCATAACCCGGCATTTGTTCAAGTGCCTCCACTAGAGGCACATTAATAGATAAGCTCTTCATCATGTCAATGAACTTTTTAAACTGATTATCATTCTTTTGCTTTCCGAGCCTTTGTGGATAAGGTAGAGGTGGCCTTGGCAAAGAAACCTTTGCTTTTGGCACAACCGGCTCCGGCATGTCAATTATGTGTTCCCTAAACGGGTTCATATCATTTTGGGTTTCCACCTCGACTTCTTGAATATCAATCCTCACTTCATTGTTCACATTTTCATCAACCACATCTTCAACTACCAAAGGGACTTCGTCATTTTGCAACTCAACATCATCATCCACGACTTGTTTTTGCTTAGAGGTTTAACATCACCGCCTCTCCCACTTCTTGTTTTGACCGCCATAACATGATTGTTGCCACCCTTTAGTTTCACTACTGTATCACTTGGTAGAACACCCTTCGAGCGAGTATTCGATGACTGAGAGATTTGGCCTAATTGCACCTCCAAGTTTCGGATAGAGGTGTTGTGAGAAGCTAATTGTGCATCAAAATCCGCATTCCTCTTCATCATTTGCTCGAACATCATTTTAATTCTACTCATATCATTACCAGAAGAACTAAGACCTTGAGAAGGAAAAGGGGCTGGGTTGTTCGGTTGTTTGTACATTGGGGGCCTTTGAAAGCCTTGCCCCCGGTTGCTTGGTTTCCATTGTTGTTCCACCCGCCTTGATTGTTGTTGTTGCCCCAATTGTTGTTATTTCCATTCCAATTGCCTTGGTTGTTGTTTTGATTACCCCAATTGTTGTTTTGGTTGTTGTTGTTCCAATTGCCACCACTTTGTTGTTGATTGCCCCAATTTCCTTGGGGTCGCCATTGTTGGTTTGAAGAGTTGGCTCTATTGCCTTGATAGTTGTTGACATATTGTACCTCTTCGTTTTGGTCATCATAACCATCATTTTGACCCCCATCATATTTCATCAACAAATTACTCAGAATTTCCTTGATTTTGTTGCCTCCTTTGCCTTCTCTTGCTGACAAGCATACTAACACCCTCCATGGCATTCACTTGGCAAGGATTCTGAACTTGTTGCAACTGTGCCTTAGCCAATTGATTCATCATAGTAGTAAGCTCAGTTATCGCCTGCCCGTGATCATGTAAATCCTTGTGCAAATGGATAACTGTAGGGTCACATTGAGGCACATTTGCTCTACTCTGCCATGCTGAAGAAGTGTCCGCCATTTCATCAAGTACATCACATGCCTCCTCATAAGAAAGTTCATAAAATTGCCCCCGGCCAATTGGTTAACAATGCATTGATTTGTAGTATTTATGCCCATGTAGAAGGTTTGTTGGATCATGGCCATAGTCATATCATTATTTGGGCACTCCTTCACCATCATTCTATACCGCTCCCAAATCTCATGCAAAGGTTCCGTTGGCTCTTGCTTGAAGGCTAATATTTCATCTCGAAGTGCCTCCATATGACTAGGAGAGAAGAATTTGGCAATAAACTTATCCGCCAACTCATTCCAAGTTGTGATGGAATGGTTGGGGAGTCTCTCGAGCCAATCCAATGCCTTTCCGCGAAGTGAGAACGGGAAAAGCTCAATCTCAACGCATCCTCGGATACATTCGTCTGTTTGCTCCCCCAGCATGTATCTACGAACCCCTTGAGATGTTTGTAGGCATTTTGATTTGCAGAGCCCGTGAAGTACCCACGCTGCTTAATTAAGGTTAACATCACATTAGTTATCTGAAAGTTGCCCGCCCGAATTCGGGGTGGGACAATAGCACTTGCGTAGCCCTGGTTCGGTAATACTCTAGGAGCCACTTTTGGAGGAACCAGGGGAGGGTCTGGAATATTGTCATTTGGATTAACATTGGCATTCCGGCCTCTCCGTTGACCTTGAGGTGCAAGAGTCACCTCATCTTGCTCAAGATCATCTACCTCCTCCCCCGCTATCACGTTTCTAAGAGGATCATTAGCGTTGTTTAAAGCCATGTTAGTACCTGAGTAATGAAACAAACAAGTAAGTAACAAAGAAGGAAAGAAGAACAATACACAAAACTAACTAAATAGATAGCCAAAACCGTTAGCTCCCTGGCAACGGCGCCAAAAAGTGATCGCTGCCAACTCCACAATACTAAAAAGTAGGAAGAGAGGGTTGCAATAGCTTTTACCCGATATGAGGGTCGGGATCGATTTCCACAGGGAACTAGGAATGGAGTCGAGTATCTATCTAGACTAGAGTTGTGTAATTGTCCCAAATGTCACTTCCAAACATCTTTTGAATTTTCTTTAACAAACTAATATTATCAATTACTAATTAGAACTAAATTATGCAAATAAGAAAATTGCTAGAGTTGAATCTAATGGGTGGAAAGGCACTTGGGTAGTGACTTTCACCTAGGTGGTTAATTGACGGGTAAATACTTCTAAGGTTCGATTGACATGACTGGGTAAATATGCTATAATCATTGCATAATTTTATCCACTCTCACACCTCTCGGTAGAGAGAGTGATTTTACCCAATTGACTCTATCGAGACCAAATGGGTAGGCAAATTAGCTCAAGCAACTAGGGTTCAAGTTGGGTAATTCCTCTCTCGAGGTTTAACCCTTTAATTGCGACTATCAATTCTCTTGAGTCCATCCCAATTCCTTGTTGGGTCAATTTTGGAGACTTAGGCTCTCTTTCTCAAGAAGAGCTAAGTCAACTTAGCACAAACCAGTGTTTGCAACCACCAATTCATAGATTAAACCATAAAATTGACCCAAATAACAAACACCCATAGTCAATCTAACAATAGATAGCAACACCCATCAATTACCCACACTAGGGTTGAGCCACAACCCTAGCTAATGGGTTTAGCTACTCATGCTTGAAGGAGAAAATAGAGAAATAGATGAAGAACAAGACATATTAATTTAAAAGCTAATGTAAATACAGAGAATCTATCGTAAAATCTAAGTTAAGATGCCAAAAATGGCTACACAATAACTTCTCACGAGCGCAGCTACGTTCTGGAAATAACTGATGACCTAAGAATGACAAAATGTTCTATTTATACTAGGCTGAAAAAACTGGACAAAAATACCCCTACGAGGTCAGCGCGGGCCGCATAAAATGGATCGTGGCCGCGCTAGGCTCTTGGACTTCAATTCTGGGCTCTCTGAACTTGGGCTCCGCGGACCGCGTAGAATGGACCGCGGTCCGCACAAGTATGACTGCGAACCGCGCAGCTTGAACCATGGCAAATTTCACCTCTCTGAATCTCTCTTCCGCGGATTGCACATAATGATAGCGTGACCGAGGAGCCTTCACCGCGGACCGCGAAATGTGTATTGCGGCCGCGAAACCTGAAGCCCATTTTTTCCAACTCTCTAAACCACCTATCCGCACAAAGTCGAATACGGCCGCACTAGGCCTTTTTTGCTCTCAGATTGCCTTATCTTTGATACTTGAGCAGGTTTCACTCCTTTTGAGCCGATCTTTGACATTTTGTCACTTTGTTTATCAAACCTGCAATCAAGCACAATTTATGAGCCTTTTGGGACTATTTTGTAACAATTTATAATCAAAGTATAAGCAAGAAGAAGCATGAAATACGTTAAAATCCCTAGTTATCAATGACTCTCAAAAGGCCAACTTCAGAGGGGTAATTAAGACCACAAAGAGTTTAGAAGTATAACTGATAATTCGTGTCAAGTTTAGGGGGGGGTTAGGTATTCTGCCATAATATTTTGACAACCGATCCAAATCTCTATTAGACATACAACACTTATCTTAGTACGTTTCTGCATGTGTATTCTTTTTTATTTGCTATTATATTGAGGGATAGGGGTGTCAATGGTTCGGTTTGGCCGGTTATTTTGTAAAATTTGTACCATATAAATTTTTGGTTATTTTATTATATATGTATAACTAAAATTAGACTTTTTGGAACCATCCCAATCATGACGGTTTCTCTTCAGCATCGGTATGGTTCGGTATTTTTTTAAAATGTCATATAAAAGTCACTAGTAGATGTAGAATGCAATAACATACGTACTTTTATAGGACTTCGCAAAACTCTATAGATATTTTTACTGTTTAAACGTTGATGAATTAAGAAAAGATGAAAGATGGCCAGAGTATAGATTCATTAACTATTCTACAACAACGTAAAAGATATCAACCAAGTTGGGACTCAACATTAAAGTCTATGGAAGATTAAATATTCAAAAAGATAATCTAAATCATAAGAAAGGAAACATATTCAATACATTACAGTTTTCTATTTATCATCGCTAGAATATCTTGTGTCTTGCTAGTGAATATGCTGGAAATAATTTAGTTTCAATAGGAGTAACATAATAAGTTTTGAATTAGGATTTTGAGTTTAATTACTTGTTGGCTTGTAACCATTTTTATAATTCTAAGGCCCAAGAAAAAAATTAGTGCTTTATTATTTTGAAACTTAATATATAAATATATTTTCTACATGTAAATTTATTCGGTACGGTTCGGTATTTTTTGGTTTATTTTCACAAAATAAAAAAAATCTATCCTAATTATAGGTACGGTTATAGATTTATATAAAAACCTACGGTTTATTAAAAAAACCTGAAAATCGTTTTGGTATGGTACGATTTGGACGATTTAGTCAATTTTTAAATATACATTGACACACCTACTGAGGGATCAGGAAGTAAAAGGGAGAAAGAGACAGTAAAAGTATACCAATGCTCATGCCTATTACATTTGCTTGTATTTTTTTTTTTAGCTCTTTGTTAAGATTAATTATGTAAATTAGTAAGAGCTTCTCAGTTAGTTAGTTAGCGTAGCAGTTAGTTAGTATAATAGTGAGTTGATAGTTGTAGCCAGCTCACTCGTTAGTTTGTCGATTATGTTTAGCTTAAGCTTAACTCGTTCATTTTTTACTTTTGTATATAGTAGGTTCTCCACTTAGAATTAAATCAGAGAATAAGAATTCCAGAAGATTTATTTTCTCCTCTCTCCTTCTTCTCTCCATTGTCTTCTCTCAGGGCGAAGAGCTCAAGCTCTCATTACCATTGAAGTTCAACCGAGGTTTGAGCTACTGTTCCATTGATAAATCAGATGGTGTGGTTGAAAGAAAACATAAGTATACAGAAGAACTTGCCCCTATACATCACAGCAGAATGGTGTGGTGGAAAGAAAATATAATTATCTCTTTGAAACAGCCAGAGCACTTCTCTTCCAATCTAAATTGCCCTTAAAATACTGGGGTGAGTGTGTTCTTTGTGTCACCTACATTATAAACAAACTGCATTCCATCTCTATTAGAAACTAGACTCCATATGAGCTATTGTATAAGAGAAAACAAAAATATTCTCACCTAAAAAGCTTCGGTTGTCTATGCTATCCTACTGTACCAAAAACACATAGGGACAAGTTTGATCCTAGAACAACACCACATGTCTTTGTTGGTTATCCTTTCAACACAAAGGGTGCAACGTTTTGAGTCTAGCTACTAAAAAAATTCATATTTCCAGAGATGTAGTCTTTATTGAGTCCATTTTTCCCTTTGCAATCAGCATGAATGCATCCTCTCAATCATGTGTTCCTCATTCAATTCCCTTTATTGAATCTTTATATGAATAACTTTCTGGTAACACAAACATTGCACAACAACTGTCTGATGTCCTCACTGGTCAAAGGAGCCTTGATAGCACTTCCAACTCTATGTCACTTGCACCTATTGCTCCCCCATCACCTTCTATAGTACCTATTTCTCCACTACCTTTTTCGCCACAATATTACACTGGACAATCTTATGCATAACCTCTACAACTGAGACAATCTCAAAGAACACATAGGTCACCTGGTTATTTGCAAGACTATGTACGCCTTCCTAACCTTAAACCAAATTCTATTTCCGTTAATGCTTTGTTCTCTAAGAATCACCACATTTCCTTTGATCTACTAACTCCTAATAGTAAGGTTCTTGTGAAAAATATTTGTCATGACATGGAACCATCATCATATGAGGAGGAAACTATTGATCTTTCATGGCAAGTTACAATGACACAAGAGTTTGAAGCATAATATTCCAATCACACATGGGACCTAGTAGCTTTACCACCTGGGAAGCATGCAATAGGTTTCAAATGGGTATACAAGGTGAAGCAAAAATATGATGGTAGTATTGAAAAGTTTAAAGCTAGACTAGTCGTCAAAGGTTTCACTGAGCAGGCAGGAATTGATTACACAGAAGCATTCTCACCAGTGGTGAAAATGACAACAGTGAGAGCATTGATAGCCACAACATTTAAGAAAGGTTGGTCCATATCTCAGCTAGATGTGAATAATGCTTTCCTTCATGGGGATCTTAATGAGGAACTATATATGCAAGTTCTATCTAGACTTGTTGTAAATAAACCTGGACTGGTTTGTAAGCTAAATAAATCTCTCTATGATTTAAAACAAGCTAGTTGACAGTGGTATGCAAAGTTGACTGAAGCATTGTGTTCCAATGGTTATACACATTCCACGAATGACTACTCACTCTTATACAAAAGGAATGGAGAATCCTCAGTATATGTTGCAGTATATGTGGATGATGTGTTGCTTACTGGGATTGATTAGCAGGTAATTGGACAACTCAAAGCCTTCTTACATGAGCAATTCAAGATCAAGGACTTGGGCCAATTGCATTATTTCTTGGGGTTGGAAGTCATGTACAAAGATGATGGTGCCATTATATCCCAAAGAAAGTTTGTGCTCGACTTGTTGAAAGAATACAATTTCTTAGATCACAGCTCTTGTTCTTCACCCTTAGATCCCACTATAAAGCTAAAGGCCAGGGAATGCACTATTTTACAGGATCCTACTTATTATAGAAAGCTGGTAGGTAAGCTGAATTTCCTAACTAATACAAGGTTGGATATTGCATACAGTGTTCAACATTTGAGTCAGTTTATGAAAGAGCCCAAAGAGACTCATTTGAAAGTAGCATTTCACTTGCTTAGATACCTGAAAAGTGATCCTACTTTAGGGATTTTCATGTCAAAAGATACGGATCACATAGTTAGAGCTTATTGTGATTCCGATTGGGCAGCTTGTCCAGACTCCAAGAGATCCATTACAGGTTATTTGGTGCTTCTAGGCAATAGTCCCATCAGTTGAAAGTCTAAGAAATAAGAGACTATATCTTTGTCCTCTGCAGAAACAGATTATATAGCCTTGAGAGAAGCAGTAGGGGAATTGGTATGGTTGAACAGATTTTTTGAAGAACTAATTATCACTTTTTCCTTGCTTGTTTCAGTGTTTTATGATAGTCAGTCTGCACTCCACATTGCCAAAAATCTAGTTTTCCACGAAAGAATCAAATATATAGAAATAGATTTCCATTTTGTGCATGATCAACTGCAAGCAGGCTTGATTTCACTCCACCACATCAGAACAACTAATCAACTAGCATATATTCTCACTAAAGCTCTGACTGGAATCAAATATAGTGCTATATTATGCAAGTTGGTTGTGTTTACTATACCTCCAACTTGAGAGGGGGTGTTAATATTAATTATGTAAATCAGTAAGAGCTTCTCAGTTAGGTAGTTAGCCTTGCAGTTAGTTAGTGTAGCAGTGAGTTGACAGTTGTAGATAGCGCACTCCTTAGTTAGTCGGTTATGTTTAGCTTTGGCTTAGCTCTTTTATTTTTTACTTTCGTATATAGTGGGTTCTCCACTTAGAATTCAGTCAGAGAATCAGAATTCCAGAAGATCCATTTTCTCCTCTCTCCTTTTTCTCTCCATTGTCTTCTCTCAAGGCGAAGAGCTCAAGCTCTCATCACCATTGAAGTTCAGCTGAGGTCTAAGCTACTATTCCATTGACAAATCTGATACTCTTTCAGCTTTAACAAAAGTATTTACAGCGAATTCTTAGAAAAAAGATTTACTCCTCCTTCTCCTTTTTACCTTTACTTTCTTGAAGAAAAACATATGCTGACGACGGATAAAATCTGGATCCGTACATGCACTACTTCCTCAAGCTAAGAATACGAATTGCATTACCCTTCGAATATTTCTTTATGAAAGCTTTAAGGAAATATACCTTAGCCCTAACTCAACTTTTGAAATTACTGAGAGAATTATCCAGGACCATCATATATATGAGGAAACATCTTTCTCTCTCAACAAATATGGGATATTCTAATATAGAGAAATATTTATTCGCAACCAGTGCTTATAGCAAATCAATGAATGCAATACACAGGTCTTCCATAAACTGATTTATCACTTAACATGGTTAACAATACATATTCTCACTTTATTTTATAACAGTGATATTAAATTTCTTGATTAGGTCATGTAAACACTACGTATGGATAAGGAATAGTTTAGGCAAACTTGAACCAGCATTCTAAGCTTCATAATCTCCCCTTAAATTAACCAGCCTCCACTCCAGTATGAAATAAGCACATACTTAGGCAGTATAATCAAGCGCTAGTCTCCAAAACAATTACGTGTCTTTTGAAGAATTAAGAGAGAGTGACGAAGAAGATGACATGCATAGATAGAAAGAGAAGAGAAGAAGAAGACCCAGTATTAGAACTATTTTATGGAAGCTCTAAAAAGGAAATAAAGTACACATGACTAATATATAAACTACTGATCCACGACCAATCCGCACTCAATAGTGAGTGGAAACGGTCGTTGGAAGAATATTACCCAATAAGAGTCGGAGGCGATTTACACAGGGAGCTACAATGGGTGTTAGGGGTATACATTTGACGAATGCGAATGGAATAACTAATTGCACTTCCACAAAATTTCTGATTTCTAATTCTACTTTTACTCTAACAATTATAAGCTAAGAGAAGAAACTAGAAAGCGAATGATTATTTTTGGTATTTTTCCAAATAGTTAAAGAGCCTAGGGATGTGACCATAACCTAGGTATTCGCCTAATGAGTTAAATACGTTAATACATGTTTTGTTGATTGGGGTATATTATAACTCTCAGCTCTATGTTACCCACTCAATACCTCTCGGTCAAAGAGTGATTTTATCCAATTTGGTATTCTCAAGTCCAAATGAGTATAAAAAAAATAGTTGATATGAGCTCAAGTAGGGTTCTCACTATCTCTAGTTTGAACCCTTTAATGAGGCTAATCAAACCCTCAATTAGCCTAATTCCTTGTTATCTAAATTATCCTAGACTAGGTCCCTCTCTCTCAAGTAGAGACCAAGTCAAAAAGGCATAAATCAATGTTTGCAACCATTAATTCTAAAATTGAAGCATAAACTAAGCTAAATAATCAACACCCAATCATAAGCAATCATTAAATTAAATACCCATAAGGTTTACACACTAGGATTAAGTCACAACTCTAGTAAGAATCTAGCTACTTATAGTGAGAATTGAAGAAAATAAAGAAGAAATGCTAATTAAACTCATAATCTAAGATTAAAATGATAAAATATAATGTTTAATCACTAAAATAGTCACAAACTTCCTAAAATGGCAAATGTTAATGGCTATAATAGCTCAAACTTCAAAACATGAACTAAAATGTGAAACTCGTCTATTTATAATGGCCCAAAATTCGCTGACATAAATGCCCCTTGGGAGGTTCTGCGGCTGCACATTTCCATGTGTGGTCCGTATTATTTAGTTGGCAAGATCTTGGATTATGCAGCCGCACAATTCTAGATTGCGGCTGCGAAACATCTTCTGCGATCGCCCAATTCTTGTGCGGTCCGCACTTCAACAAGGCTTCAGGTCTTGGTCTTTTGCACACTCTCTAAACTTTGAATCATTTTGTTAGTGCAACCCTTGTTCTATGTCGGCACAATTCATATATGATCCACACATTGGCCAAAGTCCTACTGGGCTCTTTCACTTGATCTGCAGCCGCATATAGAATTCTGTGGTCCGCACTTTCTTCTGCGGACCACACTTCTTTAATTCTGCGCTTTTTATTGCCTTGTGATTCGGAACACTCCTTTTTGAGTCATATTTCATTATGAGAGACCAAACTTCCAATATTTCTACAATTTGCACACTTTCATTAGTTTCTGGAACATAAATCAATACTTTCTGACTAAATCAAAAGCAAAAAGGTATTAATAAGTAGTCAAAATCTCTACTTATCAACTACCTATGCTTAGTTGTCACCAACTAATTAGCTACTCCACTAACTACTTACGTAACAAACTAACCAACTCATAAATACTACAAAGTTCAACTCCTTATTTAAGTTCTATTACTCTTAACACTTCCCCTCAAGCTAGGTGGTGCAAACAAATTAAGCATCCCTAGCTTGGAATAAAAATATTCGTGTTGAACTTTGTTGAGCCCTTTGGTTAGCAAATCTGTTGGTTTCTCTTTGGTGGGAATGTACTAAGTTCTTATCAGCCCCTTTTGTATTTTTTTCTCTTACAAAATGGCAGTCAATCTCTACATGCTTGGTTCTCTCATGAAACACTAGATTGGCTTCTATTTGCATTGCTTCTTTGCTGTCAGTGTGAACCTCAACTGGGAGTTGCACCTCTATTCCAACTTCTTTGAATAGCCCCAAAATCCATGTTAACTCTACAGTTGTAGAGGCTAGGCTACTATATTTTGACTCAGTTAAGCTTCTAGATATGTTGTTTCATCTCTTGGACTTCCAAGATATTAGTGAATCACAAAACTTTACAAGGAAACATGTTACAGATATGTGAGAACGTGGACAAGCTGCCCAGTCAGCATCATAGTAGGTTGTGATCCTCTTGTTAGCTTTACTTAACAGAAGTACTCCTTGTCCAAGATGGTTTTTCACATACTTGACCATTCTTAGGCGGCTTCAAGATGTGATTTATTTGGTTGGTGCAGGAATTGACTTAAGGTTTGCACATTGAGTGCAATGTCTGGTCTTGTTATGGTTAAGTATAGTAGCTTGCCTATAACCCTCTGATAAGAGCTTGCAACAAACAGTAACTCATCCTCCCCCTGGCTTAGACTAGCCAGGTGATCATCAAACTCTTTTGTAGTGAGTTTTACATTGGTTCAAGTGGTGTACCTGTTGTCTTTGCTGCTCCCAGTCCTAGCTCAGAGATAAGTTCTAGAGTGTATTTTCTCTGGTGCATTAAGATCCCCTACTTGGACCTAGCAAATTCAATCCCTAAGAAGTATTTTAACTCTCATAGGTTCTTCATTTTGAAGGCCTGTTGCAAAGCAGCTTTTGCTTATCTAATCAATGCTAGATTGTTGCTAGTAATTAGCATACCATCAACATAGACTATAATGAGTGTTAGGTCACCTCCTAATCCTTTTACGAATAGAGAATGATCATGTTGACTCTGAGTGAAACTAAAGTGTAACACATCCTCTGAAAGCTTTGCATTTCATTGTCTAGGGGCCTCCTTGAGACTATATAGGGATTTGATGAATTTAAATACATGCTGCTCCCCCTGACTCACAAAGCCCTGAGGCAGGTCCATGTAGATCTCATCATAAAGATCACCCTGGAGAAAATCATTTGACACATCCATTTAATGAATGTACCATTGTTGCGCAACAACAATGGAAAGAATTGTTCTGACTGTAACCATCTTGACAACAAGAGAGAAAGTCTCCTGATAATCAATGCCTTTTCTCTGGCTATAGCCCTTGGCAACTAGCCTGGCTTTAAACCTGTTAATTTCACTAGATGCCTTGTACTTTATCATGTACACCCATTTACATCCAATGGGTTTCTTGCCAGTAAGTAAGGTCACAACATCCCATGTTGATTATCCTCTAGAGCAACAATTTCAGACTTCATGGCAGCCACCCATCTGGGATCCTTGATTGCTTCAGCATAAGATACAGGCTCAACCTCAGAAGAGGAAGAGGCAATGAAAGCCTGGTAGTGAGGATACAGATGATCATAAGACAGATAGGTTGTCAAGCCTTAAGGAGTGTGTTGATTAGCATGAAGAGAAACAAAGCCCTTCATCCACAATGGTGGATGCTTGTCTATGGATGATCTCCTAAGGTAGGAGAACCAATTTGAGAGACCTCAACACCTGGTGATGCAACAGCTGGTAATGGACTTTTATTTAAGTCACTACTGCCAGGAGAAGAAGAGGCTGCATGTGGTAAGACTGAAGATGCATGTGCAGCAGAGTTCTGATTAGATCCTGTTGAAGCATCTTGAGC